GAGGAAAAGTACTTTTTCCTCGTAAGCTCCTCGTAAATTTACTAAGGTCTTACGAGGAAAGTATTTCCTCGTAAGTTTTCGAGGAGCTTACGAGGAAATTTGCTTTCCTCGTAAGATCCTAGTAAAGGCTTAGTAAATTTACGAGGAAGAATTTTCCTAGTAAAATTTCCTAGTAAATGCTTTGTTTTCTTGTAGTGTTTTATTAAAATAAATATTTATTTAATCTAATTATTTATGATATAAACTATTACAAGAACTAGCATTAATAATTATTAGAAAATAAAAAATATTAAAAAAATGTAATTTCAAACTAAAAACATGAATAAAAAAAAATCTATCTTCTTCCTCTCCATATTTGTTATGCAATGTTGTTTCGAATACCTGCCATATATGCATCTCCTGTAGGAACATAACTCGTTCTTTGAGCTTCATCATCATCTTCAGAATCTGATAGTTCAAACATCTCATTTTCTGTTTGTTCATACTCTTGAATATCTTCATCATTTCTCGTTGATTTTCATATAACGTTATGCAACGCCTTTGTTGCAACGACAATCTTACATTGTGTTTGAAGATTATAGCGCTCTGGATTTCTGATAATAACAAACTTTCCTTTCCACACTCCGAAAGTTTGCTCAATCACATAACGCGAAGAAAAATGACGTTTATTAAACATTTCATTCTCATTTGTAGGTGGTACCCCTCGCCATTGATGCGGATGATATCGATTTCGACGGTATGGAGAAAGATATCCTCTCCTATTAGGGTATCCTGAATCAGCGAGAAAATATTTTCCTTCAGGAGGAGTTGGCAAATATTCATCATTCCGTGCACAATATGTCAATATCTTTGAATCATGTGCTCTTCCAGGTGTCCCCACATATGTATATATAAACTCCATTCTGAAATTACATATTGCAAGCATGTTCATGGTAGGATGTTGCTTCCGTATATACCAATACTTTTTTTTTTCAGGTCCAACTCGCACTGACACATGTGTACCATCGAGAGCTCCTATGCAACCACTAAAGAAAGGATAATACCTTGTATCAGAAGAGAGAGTGGTGCTTACTTGTCGAAGTTCATTTTCTCCAGGCTTTGTAGTATCTTGAGACATGAGAACAAGTGCATCCAAAACTTCATGAAAATTTCTATTCACTGTCTCTTGATTGCGTTGATAATGTGTTGCGATTGTTCGTTGGACTTCATCATGTGCAACCATTTCAAGAAACATTGCAACAGCCTCTTCTAGAACACATTCTCGAGATTCTCGTAGTCCATAGTCACTCCTCAACTTGTCACATAATAGTCGAAAAGTTTCTTGATGCACTCGTAGAGTTTCATAGAATTCTTGATCATGGCCATCCTAAGTGATCATAAAAATAATCATGCTATCTCTACATAACAATATGCACTATCAAACAACGAAGAGTATTTTTTTGGTTTTGTAAAAGAAAAAGAAACTACACGAAACGTTAAAGAAAAAAGTCAAATAAGAAAATCACCTAAACACTTGGGTTTTGCAAAGGAATCTGTGTTTGGTCTACCATGCTATCTCTGCACACACAAAAACACTTTATAATGAAATTGGTTGCATGTTTAAATTATGTAAAACAATTAAGATAGACTATTTTTACCGTTGTAGTTTCAATGTTTGGTTTGGTGTTCGTAGAAAGAGATGTTATTATTTATAAAAATTGTGATACTATTGTTAATAATTACAAGAAAGATATTAGGATGAAATAAAGGATTACGTTAGCAGAATCTTTTTGTTTGTTTCACTTTCAAAAATATTAATTTAAATCTGAATATGAGAATATTTAAAACATATCTATAATTTTTTTGTGGAAACAAAAAAAGACACAAAAAATTATAGAACTTGAAAACAATGTGATTTTGTAGATAATATCTTGCAAACTATTTATTAAAAACTTAAACAGAACCAAAAAAAAATCAGACGAGTGACACATATAAGTTTTAATAAATTATTCTCCGTTCTTTTTTAGAAAAGATTACATAAATTTAAAACAAAAAAAGCGATCTTAGTTCAGAATCATTAAAATAACTAAGAATTATTAAAAAAAAACTAGAAAAACTGACCAAAAAATAGTCATAATTATTAGAAAAAAAAATAAACTAATTGCTAGGAAAAAAATTTAATTTCATGCTGCCCAATCCGTTTTCCCCGTTTTTCTTGCTAGAAATTTTATCTTCTCAGCTTCATTTGGAAAACTTGACGTCCACTTTCGTTCGAAGCAAGGTAATCAAACGCAGCCCAATACAACTCACTCTCATGATTGAGAGTAGTTATCTTCAAGAATTCTTGCATACACACTGCACAGATAAATGGATTTAGGGATTCAAATGTCTCTCTGCCACCTTTCCAGAATTTTCTGTGGTCTTCAATAGCAGTTGTGTGACGGTCCCACTTATCTGGATTTGCTTGTTTACGAGAAGCTGCAGCTTTGCTATTTCCACGTGGTCTCGATTTTCCAGTTGGTCCAACTGGTTCCACCTCTTCATCTGATTCGACCACTTGTGGAAATGGGATTGGTTGATCGCGAAGTAATTGACTTGCTCCAGCACGAGGTTGCCATCCTTCATTGAACGATACTGTGATTCGAACATAAAGACGATCATGTAAAGGTATATCTTTAAGAGGATGTGTTCGCAATTTGGATGCTTCTCGACAACTCTACAAAAAAAATACAAATAATTAAATTATTAATTATATTTTAGTAATATTATGTATTTTCATTATATATATTTACAAGTGTGAAATTAATTTAATAAGAAAATACCTACTCTTATAGTTCCTTTCACCAATCTGAGCCCATGTCGATTTCTCCAGCTTCATTAAATCCCAAACCAGTAGCATTTCGGGTGATTTGTTTGCAAACACCATACTGCTTTTTTAAATGATCCATGCGGTGTTTGAATATTTTCCATGGGAGATCCAAACCAAAAAGTTTGATCCCAAACCAGAATACTTTGTCGACCAATTTCATCAAGACATGTACCTTTTCAATGACCTTTGTCATTTTGATCATTGCATAATTGCAATAGTCCATGACTCAGTTGTGGTAAAGCATGACAAAAGAAAGGATCTTTGACTGTCCTAGAGAGCTGTAATCGATCGTACATTTCACAGTCCACACAAATTTTGGCTAAAATTAGAGTGCATTACTCTGTAAGACACTTTTTGTCTTTCTTTACGGTTTGAGACACAATCTACTTGAGAAGCATTTTCACTGAACCCAAGAAGTGTTTTGGACGAAAATATCCTCTTACCTAGCGAAAAAGAGATATTTTGTTTGGTTGTATTTTTTATTTAGTTGATTTTTAAATAGCTTTCCTTATTATTAGTTTATCCCTTATTTCTTTATTTGTTTGTTATTCAAAACTGAAAATATATAAATAAATAAATTAGATTTAATAAATTGTAATATTTTATTTTCCATAATTTGACATCCATTTTCATATATAAAATTTTCTGTAATTTTATTTTATATGTATGTAAATGAAAGTTGTGGACAAACTAGTCATGTACAGGAAAATGTGGATGAGATAAGTTGTATACATGATAGTTGTGGACAACCAAATTGTGGCCATATGAGCTGTTATGAACACAAGTAGATGTCTCACACCCATTTTGTCGAATAACTTATATGCATCTTGTTATTTTTTCATACTTATATAAAATATACAGACGAAACATATACATTGCGGATAACAATGCACCAACACCACCATATTAAACATAACAATGCACCATAACAATAACAGATTTATGGATTAAATGTGAAAATGTGGACATGTATATTGGATAGAAAAAATAAGGACATATATGTCGTAGATAAAATATGTCAAACGCTATGGAGTCCACAAAACCAAATCTTACAAACAATTAAATGTTTATAGAGTTTATTAATCCTTGGTTCAGTAAATATCTTGTTTGACACCGTACCAATGTGTTGAACCGGAGCCGCAATCTATGATCTTGAACACAATAGTGACGAAGTGGAAGAAGACGAGGAAATTGAAGTGATGGAGCTTCTGTGATGCAATGTAGAGTGGGAATACATGTGATCTTGCAAGATTGGAGATCCACGATACATCAGAATAAGACATGTGAGGAATTGAGATGAAGTAATTAAAAGGAAAAAATAGAGAAAGGTATATAACTAAAATCAGTGAATTGAGTTTGTAAAAAATATGATTTAAAAAAAAAAAAAAAGAAAGATAGAGTTTGAGGAAGAAGGAGAAAATAGACAAAACACCTCTAAAAAGTGTGCCTCAAGTACATTGTGTCTCTAGGTGCAATTGAGAAGTCAAAATGTGTTTTCTAGTGTAAATTTTTCCTAAAATTAAATATATCATAAAATCAAATCATTCACACTACGAATAATATAATAAAATATGTAATGCTCGAGGTGAAAGTCAAACAATGAGTAACAAAATTACGATAGTTTTATTTTGAGAAAAGAAAATTAACAATAATATATATGAACGATAAAAGTCAAAGAAGAAACTTGAAACACAGGAATCACCTCAACACTTGTTTGCAACGGAGTTCTTGTTTGATCAGCCATGCTGTCTCTACATCAAAATATATTAGAATGACATAAGAGCACCCCCATCAAAGGATGATGGGAGAGGTTCACACACAAACCAAGAAAAAAAATGATAAAAGTGATGAACCTGTGTCGCTGAGGCTCTCCCCAGTGAACCTATATCATCACTGTTCCGCGGGGTCCACGACACGTGGCGGCCCGCGATTGGCCATATGAATGAATGTATGTGTACGAACAATTATCTATCGATGTAATCTAGTTTTACCTCTTCTTTTTGTTTCTAAGCTTTGGTGAATGGAGTCGTAGAGACTTGTTAGTATTTATAAAGTTTAGTTTCAATTATTAATGATTTTAATATAGATATCTATTCTATTAAAATAGCAATGTGACCAATTAATAAAAGTAGAGCCCAACAATTATTTCAACACTACATATTTTTTTTCTGTGATAACTGCAATGCCCTTCTATTTTCCAAAATAACCATCAAATTATATTTTGATCCGCGCTTGAAAAGCGCGGAAAAATTTTATGATTAAAAATTTATATAATTGGGTTTTGTTTTTATTTAAAGTATGTTTTGCTATAAAATCAGTAATCCAACATTTATGGTGGTGATTGTTTTGTATTAGTTTTTAGTTTCAGTTTTTATTTTTAGATTTGGTTTTAAATTTTGGTTTTTAGTTTTTAGTTTTTAAGTTTCTATTTTTGATTTTCAGCTTTTTGTTTGAGTTTTTAGATCCGCTTAGTTAGTTTAAACTGATATTACCAACAAAAAAATTCCAAAAAAATCGAACATTTAATTTAAAACTGAAAAGATGAAAATTGCAATAGTTTATTTTGTAAATAAACAAAAGCAATAATATAACATGTTTTTTCAGCTTTTGGTTTTGAATTTTAGTTTTTAGATATAGTTTTTGGTTTTGCTTTACATTTTTTTAATTAGTAAATTATTTAAGAAAAATAAAAATGATAAACTATTTAAAAGTTACCGTTGAAAATTTATCAAAACAAAGTGAATTTTATTTAAAATAAAAAATACATTAACATGTTTTAAAGTACATGATATAAATAAGTGATTAATAATATAAAATTTGGTTTTGTTAAAAAATATTAATTACATTTGGGCCTGAAAATTGTAATTAATTTTTAGATCTATTAAGGTGCAAAGTTTATTCAATGTTTTTTGTAGTTTTTTTTAATACTAAACCCAAAAACCAAACCATATATTTTGTCCTAAAAATAAAAGTAAGTCCAAAACTCTATCCCACAAATAACCGCCGATTTAATCTAAGTAATGCGGTTTAGTGAACTGGCTTGTATTATTTATAACACTCTAGAAATTGTCCAAATTTAAATGATAACTTATATCCGTAGATAAAAAGAAAGATTATATTTTATTAGAGTACATAATCTTATTTTTTGATAGTAACCACCACTTAATAGTTTGAGCATATCGTTTACATAGTTTTAATTTTCGAGAGTAACCACCACATGTACACGTTATGGCTACACGCCTATCAATCAGGGGCCAAAAATCTGATAACTATAGATCTTAATTAACTAAACATTAAACAACATTTTTATAAAGATGTGAATATGTAGGGATCCTCTATTTGTATCAAATGTATAGTTTAACAATATAATAAATTCAATACAGTTATCAAAATACTTCACTAATCATTTTTTAAAAAAAATTATGCAAATTTAATCACAAATAAAAACACAAATATGATTACAAAAAAATACATATATGATACAAGGAAAGACACAAGTACATACTTATGAAACTTGATTTATTTAATATACTAACAAAAATTATCTATTCTACTAAATTCATATCATACAAAACTATGATTATACAAACACACAAACATATAAATTATATTAGGTAGAAATTTTAAAAATAATAAATATAATCTAGTGAGGATTTAAATAAAGGATATTCTTAACCAGATCTTTTAAAATTGTGGAGTTTTATTTTAAAAAGGTTAATTTAAATCTAAGTATAAGGATATTCGGGTAATATTCTATTAGTTTTTGTGGATTTTACTGAAACAAAAAGAAAATTAACACAAATAAAAACAGAATTTTAAAAAAGATTTTATTTTTCATAAAATATTTGGAAGCAAACTCTTAAAGGTAATTCCATAATTTTAGCACACGTGTGCCAGATTCTTTAAAAACTTGTGATGGGCGTTGACTTAGCTGTGTCCTCCTAACGTCTCTACAAACGTTTTCCCAATCACCCTTTTAGTACTAGGGTGGGTGTGGTTCGGTTTATTTGGTTTTTATAGCTTGTTTGTACTAAAAAGGCTAAGTGTTGCGGACCTGCGGTATTCCCTTGGATACTTACATGCCTCAAGGAAGGGGACATGTCAGATTCATGACTGAGGAAGGCATAAAGGCTATCAAGTCAGAACCATCGATGATTTTTGTTGACCATCAGAAGAAAGAAAAGCTCGCGTGTGGTGTTGGGTTAAATCACCTAACCGAATCAACCCATTTGTTGATCCATGCTTAGTTTCATTGGATTTCCATATGAATAGAATAACTCGTCCTAGTTACATCCGAACCAGAACCGTTACAAAAACTCCATATTATCCAACTTGAAGAGTGTATTTAAGTCTAATCGGAGTTATTAATCTGCAACACACATCTCGTCGAACCGAACCGGAACGCTTGACCAAATAGACTTGGTTTCTCCAACAGCATTAAAACTGAACCGAAACCGTTTTCAAAATTTGAAACGTTTTACTGGGATTTCAAAATGAAAGTTAGGGTTTACGGTTACAATGAAAATGCCACTCAGTTATAAAATAGTAAGTCGTCCGCTAATAGTTTCTTAGCTCTCTTCAAGAGAAAAACAAAAGTTTTCAAAAACCCTAACTGTTACGGTACGGCTATGGCGGCATCGAAGAAGATCTCCGATGAACTGAACTTTGAAACCTGGGCTCCAGCCACGAGAACAAAACTGATCCAGAAAGGACTTTGGGAAGTCGTCGAAAACGGAGTCCCACCAGATCCATCGAAGAATCCAAAGCTATCAGCGACGATTCAACCCGAGGAACTCTCGAAATGGAGAGATCTCGTGGTGAAAGACACCAAAGCGCTTCAGGTATTGCAATCTTCTCTCCCAAAATCTGCTTTCAGGAAGACTCTCTCTGCCTCTTCGGCTAAAGAGGCTTGGGATTTGCTCAAAAACGATAACAAAGCGGTGGAGCTGGTTAGGTTAGAGAAGAAGTTCCGAGAACTTAGCATGAAGGAAGGAGAAACGATCGAACGCTACGTTGATAGAGTTACGGTTATTCTTGAAGAGATGCGTCGTTTGAACAAAGTGAAGTCTAAGTATGAGGTTAACAAGAAGGTGTTGAGTTCGGTCACGATGCCGTATAAGATTATGGCTTCGTGTTTGGAAGAAAACTTGGAGGTTATGGAGAATATGCCTCTTGAAAGTCTTCCTGAGTTTTTCGAAATATGCGATGACGTGGCGGAGGAAGTTTGCGGTCTGATGTTGAAGGATTTGAGTCTTGACTCGAAGCGTGGTAAGTGGTGTGGTTTGTGCAAGAAGAAGAATCACAACGAGGAAGATTGCTATTACAACTCTAGCAAGGGGAGTTCGAGTGGTGCAAGGCGTGGTAAGTGCTTTCAGTGTGGTGAAAGAGGGCACTTCGCGAGAGACTGCAAGAGAAAGAGTCAGGAGCAAGTGGTTAAGGAAGAAGTTGAAGTTGAGTACCTAATGTTCGCAGAGGAAGCTTTAGGTAAGGGCACTTGTGATGAGCATGTGTGGATGGTACACCCCTGTGGTACCACGAATCATATGACTCCAAACGAGAAGTACTTCTCTGCTTTAGACAGAACACATAAAGCTTATGTTGGGTTATCAGACAGAAAAGTTCTCAGGGTTGAAGGAAGAGGAGATGTGAAGATTATGGTGAAGGATGGGAAGAAGAAGACTATGAAGAATGTGCTTTTCGTTCCTGGGTTGAAGGGAAACGTGCTGAGTCTTGATCAGTTGACAGCAAGAGGCTATTCTGCGATAATGGAACCAACGAAATGCACTTTTCAAGACCGAACTGGGGCGGTGTTTGGGGAGCCAGTGTGGGATGAGAGAGGACCAGCTCTGCGTTTGAATGTGGTTGAAGGTAATCTTACCTCTTAAACAGCTCTACGCTGTTCATTATGGTACTAGACTTGTAAGAGCATGTTTATTGGGAGGATGTTTAAGGGGGTGCTTAGAGAAGTGGGGTGCTTAGTTTTGAAGAGAGAATGTGTTGAAAGTGCTTAATTAAGCACTTTCAACACTCTCTCTCTTCAAAACTAAGCATTCCACTCCTTTAAGCACCCTTCCTAAGCATCCCCAATAAACATGCTCTAAGACATATGTTGTCTTTCTTTTGGTTTTAGTGTTTCAATGTTTTTAGTTTCTTCGTTTTATTGCTACTGCAGTATGAATCAGTTTGTTGTCTTTTAAACCTTGAACGGCTTTGGTATTATTCTAGTATCAACCAAATAGACTTTATGTATGAAGTATTTTGGAGATCCAATGGAGATCTGTTCTTCAAAGATATCCTAATGAGATCTAAACTTTATATATGAAGTATTTTGGAGATCTTACCCGACCAAAATCTAAACTAAAACTTAAAATGATTTGAAGTTAAATAAACTTATTAATCTTCTTGTAATAATCTTGACAAGTTAATATTATTTACAGATTTCGATAGTTCTTGTACTAGAATTATTGTTTTGTAAATACGAATACTTTAACCATTTTAAATAAAAAGCTATTTTATCGGACTTTAAAATAGCTTAGATATTTTTTTGAATATTTATGGTAATTTTGTTTCAGATTTTTGGTTGATTTAAAATATAAGGTCTGATGCGATTTGAACCGCCCAAAAACATAGAAAAATTCGAAAATTAAAAATTGATCTAAATCGAGCTCTCATGCCGGAGTGAATCTAAGCTGGATATATCCTCCAATCAATTAAACCCAATCAATATCCAATCTTAACTCGAAATATCTAGACCCAAAGAGGTTTATAACATGGTTTAGTGTCACAGTATAAATATCAGGGTTTACTCCGTATCAACCAAATTCAAAGAGTGAATAAACTTGGCATTTATTCAAAAAAACTGAATCCGATGGAAATCTATTTTTGAAAGATATCCTAATGAGATATAAAATTTATGAATTAAGTATTTTGGAGATCATATTCAACCAAAATCGAAACTATAACTTAAAATGATTTGAAGTTAAATAAACTTATTAATCTTCTTGTAATAATCTTGATAAATTAATATTATTTACAGATTTCGATAGTTCTTGTACCAGATTTTTGTTTTGTAAATTCGAATACTTTAGCCATTTTAAATAAATTAGCCATTTTTATCGGACTTTTAAATAGCTTAGATATTTTTAAAAAATATTTACGGTAGTTTTGTTTCAGATTTTTGGTTGATTTCAAATATTAGGTCTAACGCAATTTGAACCGCCCTAAAACATAGAAAACTTCAATAATTAAAATTGATCTGAATCGAGCGCTCATGCCGGAGTGAATCTGAATTGAATATATCATCCAGTCAACTAAACCCAATCAATATCCAATCTTAACCCGAAATATCTAGATCCAAAGAGGTTTATAACATGGTTTAGTGACACAATATAAATTTCAGGGTTTACTCCGTATCAAACCAATTCAAAGAGTGAATAGACTTGGCATTTACTCGAAAAGACTGAATCCGATGGAAATCTGTTATTGAAAGATATCCTAGTGAGATCTAAACTTTATGTATTAAGTATTTTGGAGATCCTATTCGACCAAAATCTGAACTAGGACTTAAAATGATTCGAAGTTAAATAAACTTATTAGTCTTCTTGTAATAATCTTGATAAATTAATATTATTTATAGATTTTTTGATAGTTCTTGTACCAGATTTTTGTTTTGTAAATTTGAATACTTTAGCCATTTTAAATAAAATAGCTATTTTAATCGGACTTTTAAATAGCTTGGATATTATTATTTTTTTTTGAATATTTATGGTAGTTTTGTTTCAGATTTTGGGTTGATTTCAAATATTAGGTCTAACACAATTTGAACCGCCCAAAAACTCATTAAAATTAAAATTGATCTGAATGGAGCGCTCATGCCGGAGTGATTCTAAACTGAATATATCATCCAGTCACACTAAACCGAATCAATATCCATTGTTAATCCGAAATATCTAGACCAAAGGGTTAGTGTCACAGTATAGATATCAGTGGGAATAGTTCATCAGGATTCGATTTCTCCAAGAGAGTAACAAACAAAGTTTAAGAAACCCTAACGGTTACGACGGCTATGGCGGAGGCGAATACACTAGACGGTGTATCCGACGACCTAAGCTACGAAACGTGGGCTCCCACCTTGAAAAATACGCTCGTGGAGAAAGGTCTTTGGGACGTTGTGGAAAACGGAGTCCCGGAGGATCCGACGAAGAATCCAGAGTTAGCGGCGACGATCAAAGTCGCGGATCTCGCTCAATGGAGAAACCGTGTGATGAGAGACATCAAAGCGCTCAAGATATTGCAATCCTCTCTCCCAGATTCGTCTTTCAGGAAAACTATCTCCGCTGCTTCCGCCAAGGAGCTTTGGGATTCACTCGAGAAAGGTAACGAAGAAGCGAGACTCCGTAGGTTAGAGAACCAATTCGAGGAACTTAGCATGTGTGAAAAGGAATCGATCGTTTCCTACTTCGCTAGGGTTTCGGGAATCGTCGAAGATTTGCGTGTTTTGAAAAACGAGAAATCAGATTATGAGGTTGTGAAGAAGGTTTTGGCATCGCTCTCAGGGTCATACGCTCATGCTGCTCCTGTGATTGAAGAGATTATGGATCTGAAGAAGATGAATCTCGAGAGTCTTGCTGTGTTTTTCCGTATATTTGATGCGATGCCAGATGAATATGTTCATGATCAAGACATTAAGCGAAACAGGCTTAAAGCTAAGCTTGGTATTGGCAAATGGTGTGACGTGTGCTACAAGGAAGATCATAACCTAGACGAGTGTCATTCCATCCCTAAGGAAGGCGACTGGAGTTTGAAACAAGGGATTTATGGAAGACAGTACTGCTTCAAACCAAAGGTGGGGACAAAAGCTCAGAATCAGACACAACAGTATGCTGACTACATACTGTTGGCGAAGTTAGAGTTGGGTGCCTTCACATACGATGAGGATACGTGGATGATATACGGCCACGCCACGACCAACATTACTCCGTATGAGAAGCTTTTCACTAATCTAGACAGAACGCAGAAGGCTAAGGTTGGTTTGGTGGACGGAACGGTTATCATGGCAGAAGGAAGAGGAGATGTGAAGATTGTGATGAAGGATGGGAAGAAGAAGATGATCAGGGATGTGCTTTTTGTTCCACGTGGAATCAACAGAAACGTGTTGAGTGTTCCTCTGATGACATCGAGAGGCTGTTCGTTCAAATCTGGAGAAAGAGGTGAGTGCGTTGTTCGTGATAAGACGGGAGCTGTGTTTGGGGATACTACGTGGGATGAGAGAGGATTGTCTATTCGTATGCAGGTAGTTAAAGCTAATCTCTCCTCTTCGATCAAAAAAAAAAAAAAAAGCTAATCTCTCCTCTTAGCTTGTTTTCACTTTTTAATAAGTATGGTACTAGGCTTTATTCTAGTTTTCAGAAACAACATTGTCTACATTAGACAATATGCAATGCTTTTGTCAAGTCTGGTTTATTTGCGAAAAGGAGACGGAATCTAGTAGCACCATATGAAATAGTATATGATTACAAACAAAGTTTGCGAAATTTTACCCAAATATTAGAAAGAGAGAGTGAGATAGACATGAAAGATGGATTGTTGAATCAGTAGCGACAGATCTTGGCTGTCGGCATTGTGACACAAACTTGAGCGTACTTCTTCTTAGCCGCTTCTGTCCCTCGTTTGGGCTCTTCCTCGTCAGCCATGGCTACCTTAGCCAAGGAACAAACCGCAGCAGCTGCAGCTGTGAACATGAGATCCCTCCTCATTGTGGTGCTGTTCTGTGCCTCCTTGACTTGTAAAGTAGTTGTGTTCTCGCTCTGTGAAGCTCTGATCACTGAGAGCCTTCGTCCGCCGGTGGTTGACGGGAGCTTTGCAACGGCCGGAAGGAATGTGGCTGTCATGGTCATCGATGCCATTGCTTAATAATTGATTTGATTCTACGTTTTTGATTCTTCTCTCTCTCTCTCGGGTAAAGCTTGTGTGATGGTGTTTTAAGAAGTTTGAGTCTGGAAAGCGTTTCGTTTGATGAGAAAATGATCCATTCCTTATCCATATATGATTTTTGCGCAACTGGTTTGTTGCCACGTGTCATATTCTATCTTTGTTTAGAACTGTGAGCGGGTGTGAGGCGCTCTCGCAAAAGGTGGTTTTAGCTGTGAAGCCCGCATGTGGACCCAGATGTTTGGCTATGACAAAATTTAATCGTAAAGCCCAAAACATTACTATTTCTGCAATGAATTTTTCTTGCTTTTTCATTAATTTATTATTTAATTACAAACTTTTAAAATATTTTATATACTAAATCATAAATAATTAGATATAAAACGACTTTGGTGATGTAATTAGACGTAGATCCTCATAAGATATGTAGTATTGTCGGTTGTCGAATTGTTATGTAATTTTTCTCATAATGTACTATATCATAATAAATTTAACTTAAAAAAAATCACAAATAATGTGATCAGTTTTATAAAAAAAAACAATTGATTGATTTTTTTTTCTTCATCAAATATATTTGCAATTTCGCCTACTTAAATTCCAAAACAGGTTAACAATCGTATTAAATCAACTAAATGAATCAACAGTCTAGTTAAAACACTGAGGAAACGATACGATCATTTATAAATTAGATAATATTTTTTAATTTTTGAATATTTATGAAATTTAATTATACTATTTATATTATTAATGATACGATATGTCAACTTATGATTTTTATTTTTAAATTAAAGCTTTTATGGTTATTGAATTATAAAAAAAAAGTATTTTTACATACAGTAGAGCCTTTATAATTAAGCTGGAGTTTTGAAATTTATTAATTTACAGAAATATTAATTTACAAAAGTTTCCTTATTTAGATTTTTATATTTTAAGTTATATTTATTTTCTAAGATAAGAAAATATTGATTGTAGTGTCTAAACGTTAATTTTTTTTTTGAAATTTAGAATTTATATTAATTTATTATATTATTTGGTGTATATAATATATATATTGCATAGACGTTAAATATAATTTTAGATATAATATTACTAAATCTCATCCCAAATATATTAACTGTTAAAAAATATAAAAATAATTTCATTGTGAATATAAAACAAACAATATAATGAAGGTTCTTATTTATAAAAAATAGATACACAAATAAATTATTAATATATAATTTTAATGGGACCATAAATTTATATATAATTTTCTAAAAATTATTATCTTATTATTTTATCCATTTGTGTCAAATTTTGAACCGGTCCAAGTTGGGTCCGGCGAAATTATTAATTTATAAAGATTATTAATATATCAAGTATTAATTTATAGATTTTATACTGTAATTATGAATTTTTTTAAAATAATGGTGAACATATATATTTCGATTACAAAACAAAAAAAAATAATGGGGTGATCACGAGCTCTCCTGGATGCCTTCGATGGGCTCCGGCGGGCCTTTAGTGGCACAGATTACCCGGACGGTCATTAAGCACTAGTCGGATCCTCTAGAGACATCCAGATACCAGAATCATCAAAAAATGTATTATCTAATGTTTGCTAAATAAGTAATCTAAAACTGTAATTTTTTATTTAAAAATATTAAAATATGAATAAGTTACGCATAATATAAATGTTGAAATGCTAATAAACTAGAACAATGTAACACATATTAAATCAAATATATAATAATTAATAAAAGGGAGATATAAGCCTCATATAGACTGTCCACGTCAGAAAAAATAATCGACCAATGAGAAGATTTCGTTTTTCATGTCAGCACGAAAATATATATGATTTAGGCTTCATGTTTTTAAAAGATGTTTAGTTTAAAGAATGTGGTCCATAAAGCTCATAACTTAGAAATCCTAGCAAGCTGTCTCTCTCCGTAACTATAATCACAAGCCACATCATAAACTGAAAATGATTCTTAGAGGGTATTTTTACGAGCGATTCGGTGTGAATCTAGAGGCGGTGGGAATGATCGCCGCGAGTTTCGCGATATCAAACGTTGCAGCACGACTGGCGGGAGGGATGGTTTCGGATTTGCTGGAGAGAAGATTCGGGATGAGAGGGAGGCTCTTGGGGGTTTGGATAGTGCAAGATGGGCCCTGAAGCTGAACAAGCCCATATTGTTAAGTCCACATATGACCCAACATCTCAACGGCCGGGAAGCAGAGGAGAAGACAAAACTACGTGTACGGCGAGGACTTACCTCCCTCTCCGGAATCATTTTGATTCTCTTTCTACTTTATGTGTTGTATAGTAATCTACTTTCCAGCTGTGTTGATAAGGTGCTCTATATTGTTCTATGAGTCACTATATAATCATCTTTGTATTGAGAAAGAAAGTATTTTCAGTCAAAAACAATCTTGTCTTATTATTCTCATGGTATCAGAGCTCCTCAAACCCTAACAGGTGCAATGGCGGAACCTCTGAATCCTTACTCTCTTCCAAGCAATGTTCATGTCTTAAGCTCAATTACTTTGAAGCTTAACAACACGAATTACTTGCTCTGGAAAACTCAGATTGAGTCCTTATTGTCAAGCCAAAATCTCTTAGGCGTTGTCAACGGTGCGAATCCTCCTCCAGCTCAGACAAGAGTAGTGCTTCGCGGCACAGAGAACGTCGAGGAGAGTAATTCCATGTACGAATTGTGGTTTTGTTCTGACCAGCTTGTGAGGTTATGAGTGTTTGGTATTCTATCTGAAGAAGCTCTTGGCACAGTTCATACGTTGTTGACGTCCAGAGAGGTGTGGATCTCGCTTGCTGAGAACTTCAATAAGAACTCTCTCTCCATATAGTTCTCTCTTCGAAGAAGCCTACAGCTCCTCACCAAAAAGGACAAGACTTTAGCAGTGTATTAAAGGGAGTTAAAGGAAATTTGTGACTCTCTTAACTCTATTGACAAACCAGTTGAAGAGTCTCTGAAGATCTTTGGCTATCTCAATGGCTTGAACAAAGAATATGATCCTATCTCAACCGTCATCCAGAGCTCTCTCTCTTTCCAAGTTTCCACCACCTACATTCAACGATATCATATCTGAAGTTCAAGGATTTGATTTAAAATTGCAATCCTATGAAGAGTCTAAAGATGTTACACCTCATCAGGCGTTTGCAGTTCAACAAAACCAGCAAGAGTTCAGATCTGCCACACCTTCTTACAACCCACATCATAGAGGACATGGTAGGTCAAACTATTCAAGAGGAAGAGGAGGTTATCCTACAAGAGGACATGGCTTCCTTCAGCATCAGTCAACACAACAACAACAAGGAGAGCGTCCCACTTGTTAGATCTGTGGACGCCTAGGTCATACTGCCCTCAAATGCTATAACCGCTTTGACAACAACTTTCAGAGTGCAGAGGCCTATGCAGCTTATCGTATGGCTGATGATCACGGGAAATAGTGGTATGCAGACTCAAGTGCATCTGCACACATCACGTCCTCAACAGATAACTCTAAGACTACGCATCCTTACACTGGAAATGATTCGGTGATGGTTGGTTATGGTGCATACCTCCCCATCACTTATGTTGGCTCCGAGACTATCACTTCGACTTCAAGTAACATTCCCTTGCAAGATGTTTTAATCTGTCCTGATATTAAGAAGTCTTTATTGTCTGTGTCGAAATTGTGTGATACATATCCTTGTGGAGTGTTCTTTGATGCGAGTAATGTGTATGTGATTGATCTGCAAAAGCAGAAAGTGGTGTCCAAAGGGACACGAAGTAGTGGTCTTTATATGCTGGAGAATCAGAAGCTTGAAGTGTACTTCTCAAATTATCAAGTTGTTGCATCTGAAACAATGTGGTATCATCGCTTAGGACACTCATGCATACACACTCTTCAGCAATTACAGAGCAACAAGGAGATTATCATGAATAAGAGCAGACACTCTCCCATTTGTGAGCCTTGTCAGATGGTAAAGAGCATTAGATTACCGTTTATTTTATCTAGTCCACCTGTTGAGAGACTTCTTGATAGAATACATTATGACTTATGGGGTCCTTCTCCCATTGTATCTAATCAAGGTTTCAAGTATTATGCAATATTTGTGGATGATTATTCTTGGTACTCTTGGTTGTATCCGATGAAAGCCAAGTCAGACTTCTTTTCTATGTTTGTGCTATTTCAAAAACTTGTCAAGAATCAATTTACAAACAATATCAAAGAATTCCAGAGTGATGGTGGTACTGAGTTTACAAACAACAAGTTGAAACAACATCTTCAAGACTGTGGCATTCAACATCGCTTGTCATGCCCATATACACCAGAACAGAATGAGAAGGCTGAATGGAAACATAGACATGTCATTGAGCTGGGTCTCTCTATGATGTTTCATTCTCACCTCCCTCTACAGCACTGGGTTGAAGCTTTCTACTCAGCCTCATATATGTCTAAGATGTTGTTCAAAGAGAAACCGGTTTATACTGCTCTTCGAGTGTTTGGCTATAGCATCAAAGTATAACACTGATGTACCTTCTCAAATAGCAGATGTTATACAACATTCCTTGTGGAATGCGGCTGTCTCAGATGAGATCAGGAAAATTCACATGCTGCATACTTGGACACTAGTCCCTCGTACACCAGACATGAATCTGCTACACAGTAGATGGGTCTTCACGAAGAAGTTCAGACTAGATGGAACAGAAGATATGCCAAAAGCGAGATTAGTAGCTAAAGGATATGAACAAGAAGAAGGTCTGGACTACCCAGACTTTAGCCTAGTAGTCCGTACTGCAACAATTCGCCTAGTGTTGGATGTTGCAACTTCTAAAGAATGGCCGATAAAGCAGTTAGATGTTTCAAGTGCTTTTCTTCATGGTGAACTGGATGAACCGGTTTATATGCATCAGCCTCTTGGCTTCGTGGATCCTGAGTGTCCTGATCACGTTTGCGGCTTGACCAAAGATCTATATGGTCTTAAGGAGGCCCCTATAGCTTGGTTCAACACATTCAGTCATTTTTTATTGACTTTGGCTTTCAGTGCAGTAAGTCTGACCCGTCTTTATTTACATATCACCACGGAGATAACAGAATGTTTCTGCTTCTCTACGTGGATGATATCCTGCTGACAGGGAACAACAATGACCTTCTGAAACAACTTCTTAATAGTCTTAATCAGAGGTTCTCCATGAAAGATATTGGTGCTCCTAGTTACTTTCTTGGAATGGAGATACAATCTCATTCAGAGGGAATATTTCTTCATCAAAAAGCCTATGCAGAGGACATTCTTCATCAAGCTGCTATGTCCAACTGCAACCCAATGGAGACACCCTTGCCGCAAAGGATTGACCAACAAGATTCCTCTCTTTTCCTGGAACCTACATACTTCGGAGTCTTGCTGGTAAACTTCAGTACCTCACAATTACTCGTCCTGATATACAATTTGCTGTTAACTTTGTGTGCCAAAAGATGCATCAACCAACGGCTTCAGACTTTGCTCTCCTAAAGAGAAATCTAAGATATGTAAAAGAAATCGTGGAGCATGGGTTACACATCGAAAAGGATCCTAATCTAGTTCTGTCAACTTATTGTGATAGTGACTGGGCAGGCTGCAAAGATACCAGACGATCAACAACGGGATTTTGAACAATGCTAGGTCCTAATCTCATTTCATGGTCTGCAAAGAGGCAACCTACGGTATCCCGTTCATCGACTGAGGCGAAGTATCGAGCACTTGGCTCTACAGCTCAAGAAATAACTTGGCTATCTTCGCTTCTACGTGATCTCGATATCTCTCAGTCTCAGTCTACTCTGGTTCTCTGTGACAACCTCTCTGTGGTATACTTGTCAGCTAATCCAGCACTTCACAATCGGTCAAAGCATTTTGACACCGATTATCACTACATACGCGAACAAGTGGCCGTTGGGTTAATCGAGAACACGCCATATCTCAGCTCTGCAACAACTTGCAAACATATTTACAAAACCTGTGCCTCGCCGTTTGTTTGTGGACTTGAGAAACAAACTTGGAGTTGGAACTTCTCCCACCTCAAATTTGAGGGAGAATGTAAGTTATAACAAGAAGGGCCACAAAGCTGAACAAATCCATATGGTTAAGTTCACATATGACCCAACATCTCAACGGTCGGGAAGCAGAGGAGAAGACAAAATTGTGTGTACGGCCAGGACTTGCCTCCCTCTCCGGAATCATTTTGATCATCTTCCTACTTGATGTGATGTATAGTAATCTACTTTCCAGCTGTGTTGATAAAGTGCTCTAGATTGTTCTATGAATCACTATATAATCATTTTTGTATTATCGTTCTAAGTATTAAGAAAGAAAATATTTTCAATCAAAAACAATCTTGTCTTAATATTCTCAGTGTGTGTTACTCGGACGAGTCAAATCGCTTTGGAGATCGATCACTGTTATGTGAGTCTTCTCTAGATTCGTTTAAGCTGCTTCTGGTCTTATATTCGTTCAAAGGACCAGTGCCTCCAATTGTTCCATTTTTCCATGGGATTCATGTCTCCTTTCCGTATCATTCTTTTAGCAGTCTTTGAATCAGTTTGTAAAATCAGTTACGGCACCATTTTCAAAGTTAAAAGAGAGAGAGAGAGAGAAAGATAGAGAACACAAACATATCTGATTCATTAACTTTGAATGATCATCACATAAGCAGAGAACTATTGGTCATAACAGCTACATACTACATTTTCCTTTACACCCAACAATGGATACAAACAAGATACTCTCGCTGAACCCATCACTTTCCCTTACATGTTTGTCTAGATAGATAGAAGAGGACACTGTGTATGGTTTAGAAGGACTAGATAGATAGAAATTTTAAGAGTCACTGAGGGGGGCCGTCAGAAGATTGAGTCTTTCTTAGGTTCCAGTGAAGACCGTCGTGGATGCTGCGAAGGAAGTCATGAGTGGATTCGACTTGGCAAGCTGTTGAGACAGGCCAAGGTGCCATGCTACAAACTAGTGCATCCCCTGCTTCAAGTTGTTTCCGTCCTTTCCCATCAAACGACACCCACGCAGAGCTTCTGCTGTTAAATGGCACCTGCACTCTCACTGTCACATGGTCCGGTAATATAAGTGGGCGGAAAGACAGAGAATGCGGACAGATTGGTGTGAACAAGATCCCAGGAACCTACAAAAAACATCAAGTTTAGTAGCTGTTATCGCTTGTTATGAGGATGAGGGGGCATATATATTACCTGTGGATGGACCATGGATCCACCAGCTGCTAGTGAGTAAGCGGTGCTGCCAGATGTTGTAGATAGGATTAGTCCATCGCCTTGCACACATGTGACAAAAGAGTTGTCGCAGTAGCATTCAAGGTTTGTGAGGTAAGAAGATATGCCACGGTCGATGGTGACTTCATTGAGAACAAGCATGTTCTCCTCTGTCTCGTAGTCATGCCTTGCTTTATCCCTGATGATGTGACACTGCAGCCTGTGTCGTAGTGTTATACTGATTGGTCCCCTCAAAATTGATTCAAGACAATCTCGGTATTGTTCGCTGTCTGGGATCATAAAGAGTTAAAGAAAATGTTCTAGGGACAGATAATGCTGCAAAATTTAACCGAGGTTTATAAAAAGCTGTTAAAGGATACGGAAAGGAGTCATGAATCCTAGAGATCCCATGGAAAATGGAACAATTGGAGGCACTGGTCCTTTAAACATCGATGCTGCCTGTAACCGTTACGATGTTACCATGTTAGATCGTCTGTGTTACTATAAAAAAAGGGACACACAAATGTAAAGTGATGTCAACTACAGAGAGAGATTGACTTTACCCATAGAACTGTACCATCCCCACCAAGAGTTATGACAAGGTCAACTTTTGGGTGTAGAAGTGAGATTTCTTTGTCTGCATAACATGTGATCAATTAGCTTTCATCATATAGAGAGAAAAATCACACACAAAAAAAGAGAGAGATATGTTACCATCTTCCCAAGTTTGTACAAAGTCGAAGGAACTTGATTCAGATAAAAGTTCTGCCTTGACTCGTGGTTCCACGTAAACATTTAGCCCTTTATGATCTCTCAACCATCTGAAGTGATAACGAAATCACAATATGATTTTACTTCATACTAAGAAAGAAACACTTTTTTACCTTCTATAGAATCACTAAATCTAGACCTATGGTTTGTGTAAAATAGTATCTTTTCTGAAAGAGGTAAGAGAATACTGACCTGACCATCTCCACAGAAAGAACTCGGACAGAAGTTGAATTAGGTTTAGTGAAGATAATAACAGTTTGTGGATTGCTCTCCCATGTCAGTGAAATCTGGATATAACAAGTTGTGTAAGTTGGTCTACATACTGAACAACTGTGCACTGAGACGATGAAACAATACTCATCCTACCTGTTTACTACTGCGGTCTGCTGTAGTGATATTCCCACTCTCAAACGAGACAATATCTTTCTTGTGCTGATCATTAACCTGCCCCTTGCATCCCCATGAAAGCTTAAATGATGCCTGCATCCACGTTCAACAGACTTTTGAAAATGTAATACACAAATACAAACCTGAAGTGCACAGTCAGCAGATAGTAGTGTTGCAGACAGTTTTATATGCAACAGTTTTGAGATACAGCAAACATTAGGATACTTGGAAGAGCTGTAAAAGAAGAAAAATATTCATCTAAATTGATGTCCTATGTCTGCTTAGTGCTGGTAGAATGTGCTATAGGTTGCCTACTTATGTTATTGACTTGCATACTCAAAAACAATATTAGCAGCAATAGCTGGACGGAGCACAACAACTAAGAGTATATATTACCTTTCGCTTCAATTTGTTGATACAGCCATTAGGACTGTTAGGTTCACAATTTTGGAGCACTTCATGAGCGCATATACGCTCCAAGGAACACCTTCCTGGTTTCCCATTCTCCTGGACATGAACCCTCGGAGACTTGGCTAAATGATCCATCTTCCCGTTGCTATTAGATTCATCAGCACACACTCCATTCAACGGTGCTGTGGTACAAGCCATAAAACTATCTTATTCATACTAATCCACACAACCATTTAAATCAAAGCCACTAGAACTAATTGTTGAACTGAATAGAGAAGCATAGTTAGCAGAAAATTCAAAAAAACCTTTATGAAGCAACTCAAGGTTCTTGGACCTCTCCAACTCATATCTTCTCTTCCATTCAGCAGCTTCAGCTTGAGCTAACGCCTTTCCTTCAGAAGATCCTCTTAGAGCCTTTGCAACAGCTACAAAAACAGAACCTTAAAAGTAAGTCCAAAGAACAAAGAAAACACATAAAGCATGAAGCTTTATGCTTGGGGAAACATGATCCAAAGCTTACTACTTACTTCTCAAAGCCTCTGAGAACTCAATGAGATGATCATCATTAGCCTGCATAGGAGTCTGCTGAATAAGAAGCTCCTGAACAGCTTTCTCTGACTGAGCAAGTGAAGACAAACCACTGAAACCATTTTCTTGGTTTGAGCGCAGACCGTTTGCATCTCCATTTCCAAATGAATCCTGCCAACAAGAAAAAAACACAATAAAGTTAAAACAATGTTCTGTTTCAAAAACATGAGCTTCTTTTGAGATAAGACATTAACAATTTCATCGCTACGAGCTCAAGAGAAATTTAAATTAAATCTCTCCACATTTTCAATTTCCGGCGATCATAAATCCCCCAAAAGAGAGATTTTTATCAAACCTCAAGAAATTTTGATTTAAAAATCCCAAAATTAAAATAACCAGAGAGAGAGAGAGTGAGTGAAGAAAGACGCAAGAGCTACCAATTGAGAGAGATCACAGGACTAAACACGCAGAATAGAACGTATTATAATTTATAAGAAGAAATCAAGAGATTTACAGTGTGATTGAGCTTGTAGGTGGACATTGAATTCTATGATATAGAGAGAGAAATGGAAGTGCGGTCACACGAAGAAGAAGAAGCTTATGAATTTCTCTTCTCGAGTCGAGACGCCATCTTTATATAAGAAAGAAAGGAAAGAAGAAGAGTCGTAAGCATCTTCCAACTTTTTGGTGAAACCAAACAGTAAAGTTAACAACTGCGGATCACATATTTGACCCTACCATAAAAGTCAACACCAACTAAACACAGAGGAATAGAAGATCAGATAAAATAATTATTTAATAAAAAGTCCTTTTTTCTTTTTACATTTTCATGTAACATTGAAATTTTACTTCTAAAAAAAGGACCACCTGGCTTAGGATGGACATGGATTAAATAATATCATAATTGTTAATATTTGCGATTTATTTTATATTATGCATATATATATATATATATATATATATCTATTTCCCTAATTTGTTTTGTTCCAAAAATATGATATTCGATCTTTTTGGTATCCAGAAATTTTAAATATTTTTGAATATCTCATTTATTTGGTTCATTCCAAGAAAATTTAGAAAAAAAAAATATGCACAGTTTATTTTTAGAGATATTTTTACATAATATTTTAGTAAAACGACATGTTTCATATATTTAAAAAATTATTTAACTTTATAGAAAACATAAAATTTTAGAAAATTATAGTTTTTATAAAATTTTATATTCTTTTACAATTTTGTACTGTTATAAAATTTTATGTTAAAATAATAATTATATAAAATAATATATTTCTAATTGCGTATATATATATATTGTATGAAAGTTGGAGCGGAATAGAGTTTCATCTCTAAAATTATAGTATTTGTGATCTACTCTATTTTTAACGATTATTAATTTTTACTGTTTGTTATACTCCAAAATATTATGTATAAACTTATTACGAAATAAATCAAATTGAACAAATAATACATAACTATATCTTATGGCAATGTAGGTTTGAAAGTCTTTTACTGACCTTTTCATGATTTAGTTGGTTTGTACGAAATCGGGAAAAAAACTCTGATTACTAATATTCTCAACTATTTTAGCTTAATCATGATTAATTTTAAAATTATCTCTAGATAAGTATAGATTCACATTCATTGATGGAATAGATAACTAAATCTAGCTACTAATAATAGATAATCCAATCAATTAATTAGATTTATCGATTTAAAATTGGAATGTTAATGTTCTTTTTATCGGATCACGTTTTTGTTCAACATGTAATCCTCCACGTTTGTCATCCACCCAATCATTTTTTTTCTTTATACTTTTGCTCATAAACAAGTTAGTATAAGGCAACATCTGAGATTATGTCAAGATTTACCAGTTAGTGTGTGGTCTGCCAGTGGACAAGTATATTGATGCGTGATGTATACTCACTAGTAACAAATTAGCGAAAAGTCGAGAGCTTCTGGTATCTCTTTAAACCCTCCGGTCGACTGGGTCATGAGGACAACCTTTAATTTTACATTTTATCCACGGAAATACCTGAAAATGTGTATAGTACGTATCTTAAAGGAACCTAACTATATACAAGTTTCCATGGATCTATACTATTAAAGCAGATGACTGTTTTGGTTTCTGCCCCTAAATTTTCTATGAAATTACAAAATATTCTATTTCACTTTCTTTTTAAACGAAATCGTGGGCTGAAAATAACAAATAACTTCAAACATCAAAGCCCAAACGAAATGGGCTTCGAACATCTATATTTAATTCATATTTACAATTCTGTTTTTAAAACAAAATGGCTTCAACCCCTATTTAGTAACCCTAATGATATTTACAATTCTATTTAGTAACCATATACCCTAAACTTTAATCAAACCCTAAACCCTATTTCATTTCATATTGGCTTTGCACATCATCCTTCCCAGCATCATTGCATGATCCTGCCAAATACATAAGAACAACACTTTTACACATGAACCAAACAATATCAAATATCTATATTTATTTTCAAAATCATATATTTTTGGGATATTTATTCAAAACATATTACATTTACACATGAACCAAACAATATCAATAACCAAATTCGGTTTTCAACCTCATAAATTGTCGGAATATTTATTCTTAACATATCATTGAATATTCTCTGTAGTTGAATATTCTTTTTAATTGTTACCAGCAATAAATTATGAAAATATATATGCGTAGAAATAAAAGTATAGAAACAGAAACCAAAAGATTTGCTAACTAATTAATTATATTTTCCAAATTTGCCAAATACTAATCCTAAAATTTATTCTTAACATATCATTGAATATTCTCTGTAATTGAATATTCTTTTTAATTGTTACCAACAATAAATTATGAAAATATATATGTGTAAAAATAAAAGTATAGAAACAGAAACCAAAAGATTTGCTAACTAATTAATTATATTTTCCAAATTTGTCAAATACTAATCCTAAAATATATTCTATACACAAAATAATTTATTCTGTTCAAGTTTATTTATGGATTTCCCAAATACTAATCCTAATCAATATTCGATACTAAATAGAATATCCCAAAACTTTCTCCCCAAGTTTCTACTAAAACCTAACCACATCGCTTAAATCTGCTTTATATATAAATAGACAGCACCCTATTCATGTTCCAACCCACATATTCGAACATAGGTCTACTATAATTTACAAACCTACAGAAGCCAATTTTCTGATCCAGCAGAAACGCAAGAAATGGTCTCAATTTCCATTCAAAACCATTCAGAAAATTAAACGAACAGATAAGGTTTGGTTCTCTTTGCTATTTGTTATTTGTAATACACAATATTAATACAATTTTCGTTTTTGTAGAATGGATATTCCAGAGTTATTTGTATTGTTTATGCAATTAGTACCGATTGTCCATGGTATTATTGTGCTTGTGTGGTATGCAACCATGAGGTTACGAAAATGACTATTTCATTTAATGATCTGGACGTACCAGACTGGTGGTGTGAGGGTTGTAGTTGTATTGTTACCAAAGTTACACCAAGGTAATTAGGTTATTCCAAAATCTGATCGTACTATATACTTATTTATTACTTATTTTATATTGTGTAATGCTAAAACAATGTTAGTGATTATTGTTTTCAGGTACAAGTTGAAATTGCTTGTGCAAGATCTAACAGGTGAGTCAAACTTAATGCTTCCAGACGCAGCCGCAAATACTATTATCAATGCCTCTGCAGCAAAACTCTTAAATGGTTCTCATAATAAGGTTATCAACTACTTAATACTGTTTTAATAAGAACATTTTATATCATCTGAGATTCTTACTACATTCAATCTTACTATATTTAACAGATCGAAAATCCTGAATTACCAAGTGAGATTGTGGAGATCGTAGGAAAGACTTACGGCTTTAGGATATGCGGAGATGATGAAAACAATGTTTGTGGAGCAGAAACGTTTGAAGCCTTGAAAGTTTGGAATCTTGATAACATTCTAAGGAAGAGAATCAAGTCATTGCACCAGTTATCTACGAAGAAACAATGCAGTGTCAGAGGAATTGAAAAAAAATGTCTAATTATGAAGCCAAAGACAAGAAGAGCGGCTAATTCTATCCCGAAGACAAGATCATCATCAGTTTTTTTTTTATGTTTTACTTATGCTATGGTTTTACGAATTGAATAATGATGTTTATGCTTTCTTTCTAATTTGGTTTTTTGTGGCTTTTATGAACGCATCAATAAAGTTTTCGATCGAAAACAGATTAGATATAATTTTTTGTATTCTACAAACCTATACTATTAAAACAGATTTATTATTCAAATATAATAGATTTAATTGGAAATAGCCGTGTATATTTAGACCAGAAAACAAACCGTTTAATTCTTTCTCATAATTTCTTTCAGACAAACGATTTTAAATTAAAGGATATTGTACAAAACATATTTTTAAAAAGTAAATCGATTATCCTAAACAAACCTTTACATGGAGGTTATGTTTATGTCTTACCTTGGTCGATCAAGCTCTGGATGTTTTTCCAGATCGATTTCACCGAATTTCACATGCAAAACAAATCAAAATAAAATATATATTGATGGTAAGTTCTTTAGATTAATCATATTTAACCGAATTTCACATGAGATTACCTATACCATTTCGTTGTATAGATCGGAAAGGCTCATCTCTCAGTCTTCGATTTATCCTTCTCGATTCAGATCTTGAATTAGACGAGATCTGTAAAAGAATGAAATACAAAACTTAGAAAGAAAGATCGAACTTTAAAGGTAATCGATTTAGAACTACTAAGTGTATATTATCAAAAAGAAAAGTGGTGTATTATATGTAAGAAGAGATCGGAGAAGACAACCTTCTGTAGGTGGATCTAGATCGACATATCGCCTTTCTGGTTCGAGAGAGAGAGACGTTTTTTTTTTTTTCAAAGCGAATACTTGTTGGTAATAAAAAATCAGATGTTGTCGGTAAACAACATATTTGTGTATTGTGTTTAATCAAATAGGCCCATCGTATGTTTCCCAGATTTGGCCCATTATCTGTTAAGGTTTTAAAAATATTGGGTCCTTAAAATTATTATGGATTGAAATTCATTTTAAATTTTACAGCCTATTATTAAATTTGGTACAAATAATTTATATATATTATTTGTATTCAAATTTTATTATTAAGTTTGGTAAAATTCATAACTGTATAACTAATTCTAATTAATATAATTTATGAAAATTACCAAAATATAGATTAAATTAACATAAGAATCAAAAAAATTGTATAATCTAATTCAAATTAATATAATTTATAAAAATTACCATTTACATAGATTAAAAAGAAAAAAATAGCATTTTGACAATACAAACATTTTGTATAGATTAAAAATTAACGTAAACATAAAAAAATCAACTTCTAACTAAAATCATTAACACACTTGGTATACATTTTATATAAAAACACATTTGTTATAATAAAAAATAAATGTCACATGAAACATACCTGCGCTTCGGAAACGCGGATCAAAATCTAGTTTTCGATTAAAGTATATGATTC